TGAATGCCATCACCACCAGGAGTGGCAAGACCACATCGGTGGTACCTGCCTAGGCTAGGGAGGAAGAGCCACTGCCTGCTTCAGCACTTCCAGCCAACGATGTAGAAGTGAGGGTGGAGAAGGAAGCCCCTGCTCCCAAGTCACAGCCAGTGGTTAAGGAGCATGTACCCCAGCTTCCCTTCCCCACTCGACTACATAAAGATAAGCTGGAGACTGAGTTTGCCAAGTTCATGGCAATGTTGAAGAAGCTCAACGTCAGCATACCTTTCATGGAGGCACTGCCGAAGATGCCCAAGTACGCCAATTTCATGAAGGATCTCCTCGGCAACAAGAAGAAATTTGGGGATCTTTTGACAGTGATGCTGAGCGAGGAGTGTTCTGCTACCCTGCAGAACAAGCTACCCGAGAAGCGTAAAAACCCAGGGAGTTTTACTATCCCTCTTGTTATTGGCAGCATGCATGTAGGAAAGTCCTTGGCGGACCTAGGCGCTAACATAAATGTCATGTCATACAAATTTTTTAAAAAGCTAGACCTAGGTAAACCTACAGCTACTAGGATGAGCATTCAGTTAGCTGATCGCTCCATTGTGCATCCTAGGGGTATCATAGAGGATATGCTTGTTAAAGTAGGTGCATTCACATATCCTGTTGATTTTGTTATTCTGGATATAAATGAGGATATGGATGTGCCTTTGATTTTGGGTAGACCGTTTCTCGCCACCGCCAAGGCACTTATTAATGTGCATAGTGGTAAACTGATCTTGCGTGCTGAGAATGAACATGCTACTTTTTCTGCGTCTGAATTAGATCACTGTGATATGCCTTTTGTCACACCTATGCATGCTGTTTCTCACCAGGTACACAAGCTTGTCGTGTACCCTTATGTGCCTCTCATTTTGCAGGATCCCCCGCTCACTCCTTCGCCGCCACTCCCTTCAACCTCACCACCAAATAAAAAGATTAGGGAGGAGTGGCGGCCGAAGCCACAGGTGGCTAAGCCTGCACGGAAGAAATGTGGAGACCACTATGAGCTGGTCCCACCTCCTGCACCACGACCACCCTGGCCATCCGAGTACTCACTCGCTTGCATCCTGCCTGATGACCAGGTCGAGCTGACAAATGCTGGTGGTCGCACCCGTCGGGTGCATGGCCACCATCTGAAGCTGTACCTCAAGAGCGATGTGGATCCGCTCTTGGAGGCACCTGTTCTTCTGTTCCCTTTAGTTGTGCCTTGTCCCGACTGGTCCCATTTCCAGTCCTCTTTACTCAGACTGGTCCCTTCCAGTCTCATGCAGTCCGTGCACACCGGTAACATCGTTCCCCTTATCCTTCCCTCTTCTCCATTGAGGGCAATGTCGATCTTAAGTGTGGGGGGGGGGGGGATGTTTCTCTTTTGACTGCATTAGATCTGTTTGTGTGCTTGGAGCCTAGTCCACTGTCCAAATTTCGATTTGAGGGCTCCAAACACGTGTTTCCTTGCAAATTTGCCTGCTTAGTATGCTTTGAATTGACAGTCTCTATAGTAATGTGCAACCTAGGGAGGTAGTGTAGCATTATGGAGGATGTTGAAGAATAAGATTTTTCCTATCTCGCTCTCTGCTGTGCCAGTTGATTTTGTGAATTAGTGGAGCTAAGACCGTTGAATTCATGTGGTAATGGTGACTCTGTTTGAATTGTGTTATGGACTCGTGTATCTAACAGGGTGCTCATGTGAAAAATGAAAAGCAGTTGGTCCTCCATGTCGAAATCATTGAAATCTTAAACATGGGGTAAGCCCAACGTGTGTGGCACCGTTCATTGCACAAAATCGGGTTTTGGAAGAGATTTTAGTGATCCTTAGTGGGGTACTCCTACAAGGTGAAGCTAAGTTGTCTCTAGTACAAGTAAAACTTCAACCCAGTTGAACGGTTTGCCTACTCGAGTATGTGTTTTTAAGAGCACGGATAGAGCTTCCGACCCCCCTTAATTTCATTGACCCTCCACACGAGTTGAGGAAAAGGAGTTAAAAGAAGTACTCTGGCGAGTGCCAGATGTACAGAAATTGCTCTTGCTCGACTAATAAGGGTCGACCGTGCAAAAGACTGCAGTTGGAACCCCCGCCAAGTGAATGAAAAAAAAAAGTAAAATGAAAGTGAAAAAGGGGTTCCAACGGTGAAATGAAGTGAAAGAGCACCCCGGTACAACGAATCCTTGCTTGTGAATGGTGTGAGTCCCTTTATCCATGAATTGACTGTCTTACTTCTACTTCTTCTTATGATCCTGGCTTGAGTCTAGTACTCGCATTGAGAGAGATAGGGAACGTCTTAGAAGACCAGTTGACCTCGTAAGCTGCTATATGATCTAGGAAATCCTCTACCGACGATCGGGGTTGTTTGTTGCTATAGAGGTCTGGAGAGTTGCATTGGTTTGAGTTAGATTTGCTCGGGGACAAGCCTACGGTTAAGTGTGGGGGAATTTGATAGACCATTGATTGCACATTTTTTTACCCCTATTCTTGAGCCGTTTGAGATGTTGATTCTCGTGTTTTAAGCTGGTTTCACGCTAGGTTGTGCGTTTATGTCATATTTCAGGGCATAGCGTTGGCATCGAGGCGAAGAAATGAGTTTCGGGTCGAAAGGAGCACGTTTGGGTTGAAGTGTGTTGGAGGAGCAAAATACCCGTCCATGAGTAGAAATACCCGGCCGGGTATTATTTGGAGCAGACAGGGGAAAATATGTTTTGGGCGTCTGAGAAGCAGAAGGGGGCCCGGGCAGTAATCATAAATCCCCGGTCGGGTATTTTTGGCCTTGACCGGGGATTAACCCTTATTCCCCGACGGTGCGTTTTGAAGATACCCGGTCTCCACCTAAAATACCCGACCGGGTATTCCGGTCGGGGATCGCGACAGACAACTTCTTAAGGGAAAAGAAGGGCAAAAGTGAGAGGTTCCGATTTTTAGAGAGAAAAAGTGTAAACCTAGAGAGAGAAAGTGACGAACCTGATTTTGCAAGTGTCTTTGATCGATCTCCATCACCATTGGAGCGCGGCTTGAGCTTGGAGAAGAGCTGATTGAGTGCCAGAAGCAGATTCTCATCCTTCACAGTATGGTTTCCGCATCTGAGCTAGATTTCCCATCTCTCTCTATGGAGTAACTTTCTTATTCACCTGTGTATGAAGAACCCTAGATTTGTATGTTAGGTCTGATTGTATGAACCCAAGTACAGATTCAGTGATATGATTATATTCAATTGAGGCTTGATTTGTTGAATGGCATGAATCCTGATCAAATTCCTGTTGCTTTTGCTTTAACCTAGAAAGAGAATATCTGCCTAGGTTGATAGAGCACCCTTGCTTGAAGGTAGTTAATTGACGACTTTAGTCGAGGAGTCAATTCACTATTATGTACCGAATTTACTTCGGTAGTGGAGGTTTGGTTCGTTAGGGCCTCAATCTGTTTACTCCGGTGGAGGTTAGTCGCCCGCTGGGGACTCAGATTGAGAGGGTCTGGAGACCTTTAGTCGAGACTGCAGACTGTTTAAGAACCTCCCGCAGTATAACTATCATTGAATTTGAACTTGGTAAATTACAATCCAGCTTAACTGTAGTCTAGGGGGAACCATATCCGGGTGACCTCTCTCGACTTGAAAACAACCTTTTTCTGCTTTGCTTGTTTGGACCTTCACTAAAGTGTCACTGCTAAATAATAAGAACTCACGGAGTAGTCATCACACTTAGGACCCGGGTTGACATTAGAACCCAAACCCGCTATACTACGCTTTAGTAGGTGGTTACACTTGGCCATTTTCTAGAGTGACGGTAGAAGCGAGTCACCTGTTTACAATGAAGCGTTCAATCCTGTCCCGTATTATCTGGGGAGTGGTGGCGTTTTCTTCAGATATTCTTTGGTTGTGTTCTTTCCACAACCTCACTTCCTACCAGGCTACTGCAGCTGAATGAACTACTAATTAGTACTAATTGATCATGCTCTATTGTATTTTCTTCCTAATCTCTATATGTTCAATAAGGACGCCACAGAAGTCACAATTTCACAGGTGTATGACAAATATAAGATTGATAAATACATCTGGGATAAATATCGAATTCCAGCAAGTAAAACAAAACACTTCAAAATGGAACTACAACAAAGTTCAAGATGAATATATAATGAATCCTGTCTTCTAAAATCCAGGGAGCAAAAATGGCAGTGACTCTTGCACCGTTGCACCCATTTACCTCATTCTCACCACTAACTACCACTACAATATGCACTCATAAGTAGGGATAGCAATGGGTCGGGTTGGGTCGGGTTTTGTCAAACCCAAACCCAAATTCATGGGTTTATCCGCCAAAAAAACCCGGTGTAAAACCCGCTGGGTTTGAAAAACTCAAACCCAACCCAACCCGCTGGGTATCCGCGGGTTCATGGGTACCCGTGGGTTTTTGTGGTAAAAAATTTACAATAACAAATTTCTTTCAAAATAAAAGTTTAACATTAATTTTCTCATACAAATTATTCATACAAAAAACACCAATCTAGAGCATACAAGCAAACCGCAAATGATCAATACAAATTGTTCAAAATTAAAGATAAACATCTATAAATAATAAGATTAATTGAAAGCTTCTTACTCGTCAACTAAGTTTCTTCACTCTCCACTTCATAATATCAACTTCATTCTAAACAATTAGAAACAACAAATTATATATGTCTCCACAAACATAAATAATATTAATTGTTTAAGGAAGATATATTATTTAGAGTATTAAATATACCGGGAAAGTAATTATGTGTGTGGGCGGGTACCCATGGGGTGGGTTTACCTAAACCCAAACCCAACCCGACCCGGTGAATAGTGTAGCGGGTTTAAACCCGAACCCGACCCAAAACCCGTCAACACGGGTTTTACCCGCGTTGACCAGGTTGGGTCGGGTGGGTACCCGTGGGTTCGGGTTTTGTTGCCATCCCTACTCATAAGCCTTAAATGATGAGATACTTTAAGAAGGAAATTAATCCTTATGCTTGACTCTCTCTAATTTAAATTCCCTCTCCCTTCTCTCTAAAAACTCTATTATCTTTTCTTCAGGGCTGCCGCCGACACCTCTAGGTGTTCGGTGGTGGCCCAATCCTCCATTTTCGTTTTCGTTCATGCTTTATTTCAAGTTTTCTTGTGGGTTCTATCCCTCCTTTCCTTTCAAGCCTTTCAAGCCCTTTGTGGCCTTTTCTGGTTCCCTTTGTGGGTTCTTTCCTCAATCCTCTTCTATGGAGATGGATTTGTTTTGTTGGTGATCTAGTTGTTCTAGATCTGGGCTTGCTCAGGAATCTGGATTATGCAGATTGGGTGCCACTACCAGATCTACAATGGTGGCCTTCCTCTAATTTGGTGGTTTCATCGCTTCTTGTGAATCCATCCACCGTCTTCCCCTCTGTCCTTCCTCGGCGGTTCGGATCTGTCTTGCAGGTGCTCGACGGATTGTGGGTGACAGTGTCTTTTCCAGTTGTCGCGGGGCTGCGCTGCTGTTCCTCGGAATCTTGTGGTCTTCTGCTCTCCTTGGTCGCGGTCTTCTCTGCCTCAGTTTCCTATGCCTTTCATCTTGGAGCAGCTCGATTCACAGCCCTTTCCACCACCATGTAATCTTGGTTTCGAGATTCACTGTGATGGGTCGTCTTTGAGCGGCTCCCAGGAGGCGGCAGATGGCGTTGCTGAGTTCAATCGTCATGGTCTTGGTTGTGTTGGACGAGCTGATTATGTGCCTTTTTGTACTCTGATTGTTTTGGAAACAAGAAGACTTTCTGGGTGTGTTGTGTTCTTTTTTAGTGTTTGCTCCCCTGTTGGATTATTTCACTTTGTGCTATGCTCTTTGATGTTTACCTATCAAGCATGATTGGATTCAATCTGTTGCTTTGGGGTGGCTCCTCTGTTTTGGATCCAACTATCTCTGTTTGCTCCTCTTGTAACCGATTTTTCAGAGTAAATGCAAGTATATCCCTTCGTAAAAAAAAAAACTTCCTCGAATAGATCAAATGGATTGTCAACAAAAAAAAAAAAAAAAAATCATCAAATGGATGTTTTCATATTCATACATTTTTATAGTTTTAATTAACCGACTTCTCTTTGACTATTTTGTATAGTTTTCGTATTGATTGTTTTGTATTAAATTATAGGTGTGCAACATAAAGTAACTTAGCTCGAAAGACACCATGAAGTTTAATGCATGTTTTTTTTTGGGTCTTTTTCCACTCTTTTCTTTTCCCTCGACATTTTACTTCTTGGAATGTTTGTGCATCCACTATTTCTGGAACTCGCATGTAACTAGACATGCGATTGCCTAAACATTTTTCGCATTGGATTCATAGGTGTTGATATATTTCCGTAGCTATTGATTCTAGTGACGTATAATTCTTAACACGTGCGGCGACGCCTTTCGAAACAATTGCCGAGTTTGCCGCCACGAATGGATTTCTGTTGCCGCAGGAGCGGGGCTAGAAGCAAATCGGTTTGATGTCTTTTCTTCTTCCGCCGCGGCATCGCTCCTTCTTTACATGGCTGCTGGATTGCACGCGGGAGAGAAGCCTCGCGAGGGGAAGAGCCGTTCACGCCCAGGTCGTCAAGAACGGCTCCTCAGATTCCTGCGTCTACCTCGCCAACAGTCTAGTCAATTTCTATTCCAAGTGCGGCCATCTAGCGAAAGCCCACCTCGTGTTCGACGAAATTCCTCACAGAGACGTGGTGTCGTGGAATTCCCTCATCAGTGCCTACTCTCAGATGGGTTCCTCTGGGGCTAGTTCGGTCATGGAGCTCTTTCATCGCATGAGGTGGGAGGACACTTGTTTCCCGGATACTCGTACTTTCGCAGGCCTTTTCACCGCTGCTTCGAACTCCTCGGAAGGGGTTTTCCTTGGAAAGCAAGCACAGGCGCTCGCTGTGCAAACGGCAATCATCGAAGACGTCTTCGTGGGGAGCTCACTGCTGAACATGTACTGTAAAGCGGGTCTTGTCTCAGAAGCACGTAAAGTGTTCGACGGAATGCCCGAGAGAAACGCTGTTTCTTGGGCTACCATGGTTTCTGGGTACGCAAGCGAACGTCTGGTCGAGCAGAGTTTGGAAATTTTCGAATCTATGCGGAGGGAAGCACCGCAGTTGAATGAGTTTGTCTTTACTAGTCTAGTTAGCGCTTTCTCTGCTCCAGAATGGCTTGACAATGGCAAGACTCTGCATTCTATTGCGGCAAAGAATGGACTCTTGGCCTTTGTTTCAGTCTCGAATGCCATCGTCACAATGTACGCCAAATGTGGGAGCTTGGAGGGTTCATTGCAAATGTTTGAGTCCTTAAACGATAAGGACTCCATCACTTGGTCCGCAATGATCACTGGCTTTACCCAAAATGGGGGATTTCAGAATGCTCTGAACCTTTTCTCAAAGATGCATTCCGCTGATATTCCTCCAACGGAACATACCCTCGCTGGAGTTATCAATTCCTGCAGCGATTTGGCTGCTGTTGTTGATGGCAAGCAACTGCATAGCTACTCGTTGAAGCTAGGACTGGAAACCCAAATCTTCATACTCACAGCTCTGGTAGACATGTACGCCAAATGTGGCCTTCTGGAAGATGCAAGAAAAGGGTTCAATCTCCTGCCAAACCCCGACATCATCCTCTGGACTTCCATGATATCCGGCTACGTGCAAAACGGCAAGGACGAAGAGGCTTTCACCTTGTACTGCAAAATGCAGACATTAGGAGTCTTCCCTAACGAGCTAACCATGGCTAGTGTTCTAAAAGCTTGCTCGAGCCTCGCTGCTTTGGAACAAGGAAAGCAAATCCATGGCTGCATTGTTAAGTACGGGTTCAAGTTCGAACCCCCCATCGGAAGCTCTCTCTCCACTATGTACTCCAAATGTGGCTCTATTCGCGACGCAGGCATAGTGTTCAAGCGAATGACAGAAAGAGATGTGCTGTCGTGGAACGCAATGATGTCAGGACTCTCCCACAACGGCCAAGGAAACCAAGCTCTCGAACTCTTCCAAGAAATGCTACTCGAGGGGCTCACAAAGCCAGACGATGTCACGTTCGTCAACATTCTCTCGGCTTGCAGCCACATGGGTTTGGTAGAAGAAGCTTGGCAACACTTCAACACAATGGTCAACGAATTCGCCATGGTTCCTACCTTAGACCACTACGCATGCATGGTTGATGTCCTGAGCAGGGCAGGATTGTTGAGGGAAGCGACAGAGTTCATCGAATCAGTCCCCATAGATCACGGCCTGTGCCTATGGCGGATTCTACTGAGCGCGTGTCGAAACTACCGCAGCTACGAGCTGGGAGCGTATGCTGGCGAGAAGCTGATCGAGTTGGGATCAATGGAGTCGTCTGCTTATGTGATATTGTCGAGCATCTATAATGCTCTGGGGAGGCGGCGAGATGTGGAGAGGGTGAGGGGTGTGATGAAGACTCGTGGCGCCACTAAGGATCCTGGGTGTAGCTGGATTGAGCTGAAGGGGGTTGTTCATGTGTTCGTGGTGAGGGATGGGATGCATCCATGGGTTGATGAAATCCGAGATGGAATTCGTCGATTGTTGAAGCATATGGAAGATGATGAAGGCTATCATCCTGCATTCGATTTAGTACTTGATCAAGTTGGTTAAGGATTCTTCAATCCTACTACCAGTTCTTCCCCACCTTGGCTCTGTTAGGTGAAAATGAAATTGCTAACCAAATCCAGTATTTGTATTTATCAAGTAGTCATTTGTGTCTATTAACATTTTCGATTGGGTTTAATCCTTACTGGAATCCTACTGCCACAAAAGCAAGATGGGCCTCTTGGAGTTTGCTTTCTGTTTGTTGTTTGGTGGCTGGATTGGTGAACTCCAGTTTGACAAGATCATTCCAGGGGCAAGAATTTAAGATAAGGCCTTAGTACCTACCATTGGTCCATGTCCGGGTGGTCTGCCTTTGAAAAGGCATCCCCAGCCAACCAGCTCCACGAACTAAAACTGAGACTACGGCTGACAAGACTGCTAACTATCATGACCATGCTTCGGTCAGTTTGCCTTCCATGCTGAGATCTTCCTCTTTTGTGATTCACTTTAAGTTGTCTTTGATTGTATTTTGCCTGTTTGGTAGGCAATTGCCTGCTAGGATTGCAATTGCACAAACCATCACCGAAGACAGTGTTTGGTTGATTTGTTCAGGTTAATTTTCTGTCTTATTTCCATTGTTATTTCTTTGGCTCTTCTATTTTTGTTACTTAGATTATCTCTAAGCTTGCATTGCCCGGCAAGTGCATTATACTATTTATATCGTCAAATTCAACTAACTTTTGATTTGGGGTTAATTCAATCGGCAACAGCTCAAGGTCAAGGACACATGGAAAAAGGGTTCTTTTGATGATGAATGATGGTGATGGAAATTGACTATATATGACAGGGAGTAGGCAAATAAAAAAAATACAGATCTGACCTGAGCAAAAATGGAGCTCTGGGACTGAACGGTTTCCGGAATGTCTGAAAGTGCCCATGATTCAATCTGTTCCAGGTAAAGATTTCTAAATTTGGAGAGTAAACTGCGTTCAATTCAGTTTTAGATATCTTAATTTTGCTCATCATACCAGCAGCTCTCAATTTTGGAGAGTTCCTGCTTTCTTTACCAAGCTCAGAAGTTCAATTATGCTCTCTCTTCATTGGGTTATCAGTTAGTGTTCTTTTCATTTGGGAACCTTTCAGTTGAAGCTAGGGCTCTTTTATTAAAGATTGAACATTTTTGTTTGTAATGAAATGAAAATTACAATTGATTTTGATTTGATTACGAATACATGCTTTGCAATTAAGTCATTCGTTGGGATTCCCCAATAATTGCTTTTCTTGGTTGTTTAGTTGGTTTAAAAATGAAAATTGAAAACAATATAAGAGGGTGCTTAATGCTTTTGTTGCCGAGTCATCTCGATGGTTGCTTGCAGGAAGCAAGCAGCCAACTTTGTTATGTTTTGTCATTATTCTAAACTGCTCTACTGCTAAGACACCAGCTAGAAGCTTGCATTATCAATGAATTGTTCATTTCACCTATATCTTTTGCTTTTGTGAAGCTGGCTTTTGAAATGCGCAGCGACTGCAAAACTTGGCAGTATTAAAACAATTTGTAGAATCGCACTTGGTTTAGTGTTCATTGGGCCTAAAAAATGCAAAGAATAGATAGATCTTTGGTAGTATGCTTTTCTCTTGCTGCAATTTGTGTTGAGTTGCAGACTTTGTTTTTCCTTTTGTAATCTCCTTTTAAAATTAATAAAGTGGTTCACCATTATAAAAAAAATGATCGAGAAGGATGGGTACATACTTACATAAACAAAGGATGAATCCACACCAAGCTGGAATGAACAATTATTAAGGATTAAGAGTTTGTTTCTTGTGCGATGAGTTTGTTGTGAGCTGTTTGAAACTCTTTAGAAGACTATAATTGCAGTTTACTTTGTGATGATGCATGAAGTTAGGGGATTTATGCAGGCTTTAATTAGTGTAATTTGAGAAGCAAGTGTTTTCATGCCAGTTACTTTTCATGGGATGCTACCAGTTCATTTTTTTTCTACAAACATATTTTAGCATGTTTTAGGAACCTTTGGCAGGCAAACTTCCTCGGTGATTTTTATAGAATTTTATGCTGGTCTTTGTTTAGGTTCTAGAATCCTATGATTATACAATCTTGCCTTCAATGAGTGTCTCTTGCAATGTCATTTTTTACTACTTGGTTCTTTTAGTTCATTTGTAGCATTATTTGAGTTGTGCTCTTTGTCTTTTTTTTGTTTTGTTTATTTCATGCCTTTCTTCAGTGGTATAGAATCTATAGTTTCGTTGTCACTTTTTTCATTCCTCTGTTTGTAGTGTCCTTTCCATCAACCTGTTGTTGGCTTCTGATGGCATTGCGCAGCTGTTTCTATTCGATTTGGTATCCTCTATTACAGATTCAATCGAGTTCATGATAATGGACTCACTTACTAGCTGTACATGCAGGAGAAAGATGCAGTAGCATTCCAAGGTAACGGTAATGGGAAGAGGTTGCTTCAGAAGGATTTCTCATTCATCTCAGAATGCATCCATATGTTGGTGCTGCTGAAACTGTTCCTTTTGTTTCCTTATAATTAGTCTGGATTAGTTACATGGGTTTATTTCTGTTCCAAATATGACATTTTCATGACTGCAAGAATGTCCATAGGAATGATGGTGGACTTTATTGGAGGCGCTTGCCAATAAGAGGAACAAATCCAAAGAAACAACCAAGGTTTGTTCTACTCTTCTTGCTTTTGCACGAGTAGGGAGACCCATTGCTTTAAAATAACCACCATTGGCAATGCACCATTGATTAGTTTTTGAATCCTACTTACGGTCAACTTTAGTTTTCTATTAACCTTCCTGTCGTTTCCTCCAAATACTATTTCTATTAACCTTCCTGTCGTTTCCTCCAAATACTATGGCCGCTTTTCTACTACTAAGCATTGATTTCCTGACAATATCATTCTAACTTCATTACCTTTGTTGCCTTCTTGGAGTGTACCACGTCACATAACATATATGTACTCTTTAAACACTCGCTTTACTTTTTTGTTGTTTGACCATATTGATCTTCCCATCAGTTCACTGTTTTTCTTTGTTCTGTGATGCGGTTTTTAATTGGTATCAATTTTTATATTAGTGCCTTTGCTATTCTTCTTCGTCATTTGGTTTTGATTTGAGATGGATGCTTGCTAATTTATGGTACAGAGGAGCATCCAAGAGTATATGAGATGTCTGCGGTAGAGTTTGCTTGAACCTAATTTGTCATCGGGTGTTTGATTCTCTTCCTCTGAAACCGTTTTGTTTTATTTTTGTACCATTGCTTTCAGGCTCATCTGCTCATCCTCATCCTTCCACAGCCTACGTAATATCTTAGCCTTCTTTTCCCACCTTTTGATTCCAACAATAAAATTGGTTTTGTTACTCGGCAATTCTTTCCAGGTTCTGGTGAATCATTGTTCCATCTATAATGACCCCTTGAAGGTGGATGAAGAGCAAGGCAACAATGGGGAGATGAATGGGAAGCTCAAAAATACACAAATCATGCATCATTTAGCCTTCTGAAAAGTTGGTGATTTGTTAACAACTTCATTTCTATTTTTTCGTACCTTAAATGGTGCTTTTGGAACGAAACAAATTTATGACATGATTGCAATGTTTGGCAGCTGACTTTTATGCACAATCAAGTAACTGTTGAACTATGATCGGATATTGGTTGAGGTAGGAAGGTTAGATTTTTTAGATCCCTTGCAGCAGATTATTTTTCCGGTTATGATTGCTTCAGATTTTCACTTATTTACTGATTCCTTAATGATATACTGGAAATCATTGCTAATCCACTGAGTCATGCCTCTATTTCTCTATGTTAATTGGTTGTATACATTTCTCTGTTTATGTTTAAGGAACTGGTGACGTGAAAACAGAGATACTACAGAATTTCCAATGAAGAAGGAACTGCTGATGTGAAAAATGGAGATACCTCAGAAGTTGGCAAATAAGAAGGAACTGCTGATGTGAGCAAGGGCGAGTAAGTTTAGACGGATGTTATAGTAGTGTCTTTATTTTTTATGTCTTCCAAAGATCACTAATTTATTGAAAGCTTTCACTTATTTCTTGAGTTGGTTCATTTCTACAACTACAAGGATTTCGATGATAATGCCTGGGTAGGTTTTGGTTAAATATGGAGGGTAAGCATTACTTGCCTGTTGCTTTGGCAACTTAGTCAATTTGTTGTGTTTATGCTCATGTCTCTGGAGCTCTAGCTAGGGCTGTGTTTGTTTGGTGGTCTAAGTTATAGAAAATGCCTCAAAATTTTTCTTGCAAAGATTCAATACACCCTGTTTAGGGGAAAGATGTATATTTCTTGCTCATTATCATACAGTCACTTATTCACAAATTTCGTGGTATTTTATTGATAGATTCTATAGGAACTGGATATGCTCCATAGAAATTGTTTACCTGTGAGATTGTCTCTTGGCCTGTAGGTTTTAACACAAGATTAGAATTCTAGCTTTTTCAGAGTGGTATCTCACTGATGGCTCGAACCTCTCTGGAAGGGGGGTCTTCTCCGCTTCCACATAAGCTGCGCAGGAAAGGCCCTCTTTCCTAAAGTCCTAACACACTTTTTTATATACACACAACAGTGTTTTGAAGCTTCTGCACATAAACACTAGGAAATACAACACATGGAGTACAAAGCCATGTGGTTGTCCATGTTAGCTCCGGCGCAGTACGGCCTGGGGAAATCGCTCTCCATGCCGTAATCCAGCGTCGTCAGCGGCCGGTACTCCAGTTCGTCCTTGTGATCCTTCACGAACTCTGGCACCTAAATTTCTCCCTTACGTACTCCCACACAAACTCCAGCCTGCTAACGTACTTCACCTTCCTGTATAATCTGCGCACCAACAAAGAGAAAAGGTAAGAAAAACAGAGCGATTACCGATTGACCATCCTCTGTTTCTGATTTACCAGACAATTCAAAAATAACGTATTTACCTGCCGGTGAAAAGGAAACGACCGAAGGTGGCGAGGAAGAGCCTGACTTGAAGTCCAGGATGCACGAAGTACAACGCCTGCAGATTCTCCTTCAGGAGATCCGGAACGGCGTCGTAGATGATCGGAGGGCAGAGATTCCAGGAAAATTCTCGTTCCATTGACCTCCTGCGTGGAAATACATTATCGAGAACGACTTCTCTCCCAGCTTGGGGAAAACCGAGTCCTCCAAATGCTTCTTCACTGCTTCGCAGCTCACCATCCGTGCTGAAATAATACCAAATCGCCATCGTCACACCAGAGAGAGAGAGAGAGCAAAGGCTTAATGTCAGTGACCCTCACCCCCTGTTTCCGAAGGAAGAGAGGAAAATGGAGGGGAGGGGAAGGGAATTAGGAGGTTAAGAAAATTGGAAGGAAAATGTTGTTTTATGAAGGAAAGTGGAAAGGAAATGTGTACTGAAAATTGTGATAGATGTGATATTTTATTGGGTATATATAGAGATATCATTTTCATTGCTTATGAATTGTGAATTAAACACATCACACTACACATACACAAATAACATTGTTGATGAATAATCAACATAGCAACTAAAAACATAAACAAATAACACATCACACTATACATCACAGTATTAGGCCATATGCTAATACTAGACATATATAAATTCGTCCAAAATAAGACTGACCACACATGATTCGTAATGACCAATTTACCTTGCCTTCAATGACCAATTTACCGAATTAAATTATCATTCATTTTAACTCAATTTAAAATATTTCCATTAAAATTAGATTACCATGTACAAATACATCAATTCTATAAAAACTTAACACTCTTGTGTCGCTTTTAAAAGGAACGTAACACACTTTTACATCTCACGATATTAAATTATCTAACATATGAGTAATAACACATAACATTATATCAAAATAAAGATTTGTGCGTGTTGAACTCGTTTTAACTTAATTTGTTTCATAATATCTAAACATTTTTTTTATAATCATAATTATTTCCTAAAAAAAAAGGATAATTGAATTATCTAATCCTATGTCAAAGACCCATTGCCATTCGCCACTAGAATGAAGGTTCAGTATTTTGTGGAAAGTAGAATTGAAGAAGAGAGAAAGAGTTTTATTTTTGGGGGAAAAGATAGAAGAAAACAGAAGAGTGAGATGGTGCAGGCAAATAAAAAAAGGTCAAACATGAGTTTCCTTCCTTTTCTCTCCAATTCGGAGGAATGGCCCAAACAGTATTTTTTCCTCTTCAGTCCCCTCCCTTCTTACTATTCTTTCTTTCGCAAACGGAGGAAAATGCATTGGGAATGCAATTTCCCTCCCAATCCTTTCCCTCCCTCCCTTTTCCCTCCTACAAGAACAGAGGGTCAGCATCCCACGTTTGTGGAATCTTTAATTGTCCATGTAATGTAACCCTAGGAGTTGTTGACATAGGGTATAAAGACATGTACAAGGCCATCGGCCAAACCTAAGTCAGTGAATAAGAATTCAGCCGGAGAGCAATTCTCTCCCGTGGACTAGTCCCAATCATCGGGGATACCACGTAAATCTTGTCTCGTGTTCTTAGTTTCTTGGTTTATATCATGGTATCAGAGTTGTGATTCAATCTGCAATCACGCTACACTATGGCCGGCGAAGAATCAACTGTCATGACACCACCCACAGGGAAGTCAGCTAGTTCGAGTTCTGGAGACAAGGACATTGATGTTCACAGTCCTTTCTTCATCCATCAATCTGACAGCACCGGGAATCTTCATGTTAGTAGTATGTTAACGCCATCAAATTACAGCGAATGGATACTTGAGATGACGGACGCCTTGGTGACGAAGAATAAGGTGGGATTCGTCGATGGTACTGTCCCCTATCCGCAAGGCGATTCTCACCTGTCACGAGCATGACATCGATGTGATGCACTCGTCAAAGGATGGCTACGAACAGCCATGGATTCCGAACTCCGCAGCAGCGTAATGCACACAAAGACTGCCCAGGAAATATGGGAGGACCTACGTGATCGTTTCAGCAAAGGGAATCTTACCCGAGCGTATGAACTTCGGAGGCATGTCAGCCTTCTTCAACAGGAGAAGCAATCGGTGTCAAGTTTTTACACGCAGCTGCAACGAATCTGGGAGGAGACACAATCGATCCTTCCGCCGCCGGTATGTTCGTGTGGAAGAAGATGCTGGGATCAAAACGATAGCCTCAGGCTCCTTGATTTCTTGCTAGGCCTTGATGAGTCATTTGCGACTGTCCGCAACAACATCCTCTCCATGCCGACGCCCCCTTCACTGCCGGAAGCTTTCCGAATCGTCTATAATGACGAGCAACAATGCACCCTAACGACGGCCCGGAAACCCATTCCGGAGGCCGCAGCGTTTGCGACGTGGGGAGGGACGGACAGAAACACGGGGAGAGGACAACGTGATCGTGAACATGCTGTTGGGGATCGAAAACGTCTTCAATGCACACATTACCTCAAACCTGGCCATGCACGTGAGATGTGCTACGAGCTTGTGGGCTGGCCTGTTCGCTACAAATAGAATGACAAGCAGCCTCGTCGCCACATGTGTGACTCGGGACGTGATGGTGAGTAGGAGGCAGGCCGTGATCGTGATCAGTCTCGTCCCCCCCCCCCCCCATGTGAACCGCGTGCGTCCCAAGCAGAAGCGGAATCAAGTCCCATTCCAGGTTTCACTACTCAACAACTTGAGATGCTCAAGCAATATTTTGGTGAGTTAACGCAAAGTACTGTCGATCCCTCGAGTCACATGGCTGGTATGTTTCCTTTTCTCAATCAATCAGAATGGTTAATTGACTCCGGGTGCAATGAGCACATTACTATGGATAAATCTCTCTTGTTTTCCCTTGAAACTGGTGTTCCTAGTCAGCCTGTGCGCATCCCGAATGGAGCTAGTATTTCGGTTCAGCGTATAGGATCACTTTCTCTGGATGATGGCATGGTTCTTAAACGTGTTCTATACGTACCTGAGTTTCGCTGCAACCTTCTATCAATTAGTCGCTTATGCCAAGAACACAATGTTGCATTGATATTTCTGGGTGATTTTTGCATAATACAGGACTTACGCTCCAGGAACGTGATTGGGAAGGGGGAGATTTGTAATTGACTTTATTTCTTGCGACTATTTGGATGTCGACAAGCCATAGCACATGCAGTAAGCAAGAGTCCCGGTTTGCTTTGTGCCCCCTGGCACGCTCGTCTGGGCCATCCTTCGGCACCAGCCATGGCCAAGCTGAATAATGTTTTTCCTGTTTTAGTAGAGTCGAATGGTGATGTTTGCCATGCTTGCTCTCGTGCAAAGCAAGTTCGCACTCCCTTTCCTATTCGTGGGATTCGTACCTCTTCATGTTTTGAGATGTTGCATTTAGACATTTGGGGTGGCTATCATACACATTCTCTTAGTGGTGCGCACTATTTTCTGACCATTGTTGATGATTTCAGCCATGGAGTATGAGTTTATCTTATTAAGTATAAATCTGAGATTGCTCGATTTCTGCAGATGTTTTGTAATCTTGTGCACACTCAATTTGGGAAGCAGGTTAAGCGTCTTCAGGCTAACAATGGCCCAAAATTTAATACTGCAGCTTTACAGGATTTCTATGCACAGAGAGGTATTCTCCTTCAAACCTCCTGTACTGACACATCCCAGCATAATGAGGTTGTGGAGCGAAAGCATAGACATCTTCTTGAAACAGCTCAGGCACTGCGGTTTCAAGCCTCCTTACCCATACGGTTCTGGGGTGAGTGCATTTTAACTGCAGCTTATCTGATCAATCGTCTTCCGACCACAGCCACAGGAAAAACATCTTATGAGGTCATATTTGGGAAACTTGCCACTTATTCCCAGTTCCGTGTGTTCGGTTGTCTTGTTTATTGCAAAGACACTCATGCTCATCTCGGTAAATTTGATGAACATGGTCGAGCTTGTGTTTTTCTTGGGTATGCAGCCAGTCAAAAGGGGTACAGGGCTTATCATCTCACTGCAAGAAAACTTATCACTAGTCGTGATGCAATTTTTCACGAGTCTACTTTTCCTTTCCAAACAGAAATTGCTAAGAAGCTGCATTAGGTGCCTAGTTCTGTTTTACAACAGCCTGTCGAGGATTTTGAAGAGACTTGTTACTCAAGACTCATGTCCTGGGCTTGGCCTTACACCCGACAAGGACCTGCATCTTCCTGGGCCTCCTCCCTCTATTTCGACCCACACTATCTCTTCTCCAGGCCTGCAGCAGTCTCCGTCATCCGGTAGCAGCACGAGCCCTTCACCAACTGGGCCGCAAAGCAAGCCCAGCGAGCGCTCTTCCCCTTCTGGGCCCCAGCTCACTACCGAGCCCAACAACTCCCGAAGGACTGATTCGCCGCACGACGACACCTTCTCTGTTGGCCAATAACCCACTTCGGACGCCTCTCCTCTTGTGCTGCCTCTGCGCCGCAGCGATCGGCCTCACGTGCGGCCCAAGAAGCTTAATATTTATTACACGGGGAGGGCGGCTAACTCTGCTCCGTATCCTATTTCCTATCATTTAAGTTATGATAAATTGTCTCCTAACTACTGTGCTTTCCTAGCAGTTGTAGCACATCACCCAGAACCACAAAATTTCTTTGAGGCGGTCAAATAAGAGTTTTGGCGGAAGGCCATGACTGCAGAAGTTCTCGCACTCCAAGAAAATGGGACTTGAAGTCTTGTGTTCTTGCCTCCAGGCAAGCGTGTTATTGACTGCATGTGGGTTTACAAGGTGAAATTTTATCCTGATGGAACAGTTGAGCGCTACAAGGCCCGGTTGGTGGCCAAAGGTTATAGGCAGATTGAGGGTGTGGATTTTCATGACACCTTTGCTTCTTTTGCCAAACTGGTTACTGTTCGTTGTCTCCTTGCTGTTGCAGTCAGTAAAGGTTGGCACATTCATCAACTGGATGATAATAATGCCTTCCTCCATGGTGATCTGGATGAGGTGTATATACGTATTCCTCAAGGCTTTGCTGCGCCTGGCGATACTCGTGCTTGCAAGTTACACAAGTCTCTTTATGGTCTTCGTCAAGCCTCGCACAATTGGTATTATAAGTTTACAGGAGCACTTCGTGAGTTAGGCTTTCGGTCTTCACTTGCTGACCATTCTCTGTTTATCTATCACCGGGGGAGTGTGCACGTGGTCGCTCTCATCTACGTTGATGATGTCGTCTTGGTTGGCACCTGTCTTGATTTTATCTCCTTGGTCAAGCGTTTTCTTCATGATCGCTTCAGTATCAAGGATCTCGGTCCCTTGCAGTGTTTCTTGGGCATAAAGGTGGCTCGGTCCCCCAAAGGGATGGTGCTTAGTCAGCGGAAGTATCTCCTCGACATTCTACAGGATTCTGGGGTTCTAGGCACTCGCCCTAGTAACTTTCCGGTTGAGCAGAATCATCATCTCACCCAACCTGCTCTTGCCGA